CCTTCTGGAACCAACAATCATGCCACGTTCAAAGTCACTCAAATCACCTTTCTTCCCCATACTGATGCTCGCTTTGAACTGCAGGAGATTGTCTTGACCATGTCTACATGCCTAAATGCACTGAGTTGCCGCCATGTGATTGGCTGCTTAGAAATTAAGTGTTAACGAGCAGTTGGACAGGTGTACCTAATAAAGTGGCCGGTGAGTGTATATATATATAAATATTTTTATATATATATACATTTTGAAACACTGATCCACGCTTTTGTTTCAACTCGATTGGACTACTGTAATGCACTTTATCTGGGAGTCAGTCAGTCGCTGCTCTCACGTCTGCAGCTAGTACAAAATGCTGCTGCACGACTTTTGACAGGTACTCGAAAGAGAGAATATGTGACCCCTGTCCTGGCCTCACTTCACTGGCTGCCTGTATATTTTAGGATGCATTTTAAAATTCTTATGTTTGTTTTTAAATCATTGCATAGTCTTGCCCCAGCTTACCTCACTGAGCTTCTTCATCCTTACGTGACCCATCGGTCGCTCAGGTCAGCAAATCAGCTGCTCTTGGAGGAACCGAGAACAAAAAGGAAGCTCAGAGGGGACAGGGCTTTCTCTGTTATGGGCCCTAAATTATGGAATGACTTACCTTTGCAGGTCAGAGAGGCCCCTTCTTTGCCCATTTTTAAAGCTCGTCTTAAAACCCATCTATTTTACTTGGCTTTCAACACCAGTGGGATCTAGTTTCAAATTGTATGTTTTTGTTTTTTAAACTGTTTTTAAATTACTTTTATTATGTTGTGTTCTTAAATTGTACAGCACTTTGCATCAACTGTGGTTGTTTTAAAGTGCTTTATAAATAAAGTTGGTATGCTATATATGCCCAAGAACAATGGCAGCAAGTCATCCGGCCTGCAGAGAAGCTGTTTGGCTGCAGTCCTCCATCTCTCCAGGATGTGTACGCCTCCAGGACTCTGAGGCTTGCAGGGAAGATTGCGGCTGACCCCTCGCACCCCAACCACAAACTATTTCAGTCACTTCCCCCTGGCAGGAGGCTGTGGTCCATCAGGACCAAAACCTCACGCCACAAGAACAGTTTCTTCCCATCCGCTACCAGCCTTATCAACCAGGCCCCGGGACCCCCGTGACACTGCCTCTCTCCCTCCCCCATTCAGGACCTAGACGCTACACGAACGTAGCATCTCCAGACCTCCTGTGTTACATTAAAGGCTGGTTTATGCTCAGAAACCAGGTCGTCGGCGTGTGTGTTGAATAAAGTGAATAAAGATATGCCCCGCCCCTTCCGTAGACACTCTGGTGCACCTCTCTAAAACTGTAGGTGACTGTAGACAGTGCCGCAGACAGGAGGCCTCCTATTGGTCAGATCTACATCCGCTATATAGTATGCCTATTTCCTGTTTGGTTCCTTGTTTTGTTTGTATGACCGCCATTGTGGAAAACGACTCGTTAAGATGGACCAGCTAGAAGAGCGAGGTCGCCCTCATGTCCCTCCGTTGTCGCACAAACTTCCCTTTTGCGTTGTAGTGTGGAATCACATAGCGCAGACCACACTTCAATATTGGGCATAAATCCTAAATATCTGCGTCATACCTGCGACAAGCTAACTGGGACACACTGCTGCGGGAGTATAACCAGCCCTTAACACACAGTCAACTTAGTACATAGCTATATACTATATATTGCATATGGTATATTGTATTTTCTATATTGTATATAGAAATAGATTCTGTATTCTGTATATCCAATTTGTCCACACCATCAACAGCAAGTCAAATTCCTTGTGAGTGCAAACCTACTTTGCAATAAAGTTACGGTACGAAAAAGCAGTATATATATATACATATATGCTTTATTGTGCCATACTAACCCCAAAAAAGTAGTACTTTTCATATTTTTGGCGATTTAAAAAACGAATATCAGGAAAACCATGCATGATTCTCATGCACATTTGCAATGAAGTGTAGGATAATATTTAAAGGAGGTTTATGGCTGCAGAAAATATGAGAAAATGTTAAATCAGAGGCACCGTGTATCCAGAGTAATAGTTTATGCTGCAGCCTCACTGGAGCCAAAGCGGCTATAGCAAGAGTCCTGGTCATCACTGACTGCGCAGTAAGGGGGAGAGTTCTCTTCCTTCTAATGTTAGTTTTCCATAATGTCTCTTCGTCTTTGTTTCTGGTTTGGCCTGAAAATCTGTCATACAGGCTGAATCAGTCGTGAAATATTCTGACCTTTTAGAGGATTTAAAACATCACAGATTTCATCATTGATCCTAATCATCATCATCATCATCCTCATCATTCTACTGAGGGAGCACGATTTCACAACACGCACTGACGAAGCATTAGCATCTCTAAATGTCACAGGCACGCTATGGTGTCTGCAGCAGCAACACAAATCCTTGAAAGTTTTTTTTTTTTTTTTGTCATGGTTAAGCGTTAAGGTTGGTTGAATTTCATTTGGATTCTGGGTGCAGAAATCGTGCATGGCTTAAAGTATTTCCTTATATAAATATCCAAACGTAGAAACTAATATGGGGGATTGTAGTGGTGATTCCAACCCTTCCATTGCTATTTTCCTTTCCCTGCTAAAGAAAGTGTTTCCCACAGCATAATCCTGCCACCGCCGTGTTTCACAGTAGATTTGACTTTTTTTCCACGTCTTTCCAAGCCCAGAGTTACAGAGTTACATATGAGCCCCTTTCCCAGTAAGATTGAAATCAACTGGAGTTTATCAGGCTTCAGTTTTTTTTTTATTCCTCTGAATATTCATGTATTTATGGTTCCTTTGTCAGCAAATATGTGGATCTCTGCAGCTTTTTCAGGGTGAGCATTGGTCTCTTGTCTGCCTCTCCTCACCTGCCCCTCGGTTTAGGGCACCGTTCACGTCCTGGTCAGGGTGCAGTAAAAAAGAATATCTAGCCACTATCATGCAACGTGTAAACTAAATGTGTTCATTCTAATAATGAAAGGTCAGGACTGCACAGTTCAGTTCAATTACATAGCGTCAATTCATAACACGTCACTTTACAGAGACGGTTCAACAAGATCATACAGTCAAACTGACTCACAGTTTTCTTTAAACCTTGGCAGACGGCCGCTCACATTGAGCCTAGTTCTGCTGGAGGTTTCTTCCTGTTAAAAGGGAGTTTTTCCTCTCCACTGTCGCTACAAGCATGCTTAGTGTGAGGAATTGCCTTCAAGTCAATCAGTTGATGCAATCAGCTGGTTTTCCTTACATTAGAAAACTTTGAATCAATCTGACTGGATGATCTGGTGAACTGGAAAGTGACCTGAGATGACATGATGTGAATTGGAGCTATAAAAAATAAACTGAATTAAACTCTAACAAAAATTTCATTTTTTTTTTTTTACAAATTTAAAAAATAATTTATATGACAAACTTTTATCACTGAGGCAGTGGGGCCTGCAGAACTGTTTCTTGGGGGCCCAGATGGGGCCACTAAAAATATTGGGGTGGCCACTGAAACTGAAAGCCATCATTTCAGGGTTTGAATCTATTATAGTGGCAAACCTGCCTGTAGAAATCAGTATACACCTCCTCATATCTTGGTTTATTGTTTGATTTTCAATGTTACGTCGCTAGCTGTGCAGAACGGGATGAAATGCTAAACTGATGCTACTAAAATTTAAAATGGCCAGTGGGGTGGCCAAGGTCACCCCTGGCCACCCCCTGGTGATGCCACTGCACTGAGTGTTCTTTAATCCTGCAACATGAGACATAAACTGATGAATCATTTCTGTTGTGACTCCATCCCTAACTTATTAGTTTATGATGATTTTATACCAAGAAGTAGTTATATTTGAGACATTAATCTTTTCTAATTCATTTTGTTCTGTAATGGGAGGACATAGCTGTGATGTGCTGTAAATTATTTTTTGCAAAAACAAAAGCCTAGTTCTAAAGATTCTGTCGTGATCTTGGAGGAACGCTACGGAAGCCGGCAGACCAAACCAGATGAGAGTGCGCATTCAGCGTCTGCTCTGCCGATAATGCAAGCGTAGAAGAAGAAATGTGCTGTTTACCTGTGCAAAGAAAGAAACAACGAAAGAAAAATGTCTGAGGACTTCAGTGTTGAGGAAGAGCATGAGTTCTTTGCCGAGCTGAATGCGCACTTTCATCTGGTTTGGTCTGCCGCGGTTTCCGTAGACTCGTGAACGCGCTTTCAGGAAATCCTATACACTACTGTTTATGCTCTAAAAACATTCTAAATGACTTTGTTTCGAGTAAATTCTGGATGCTACCCACTCAGGACACTTGGAATACATTGGACAAGCAGTATGGAGGAATATTGACACGTTTTTTGTGGACTTTTATGGACCTTTCTGCCTCGGGCGCCATAGACCTCCATTATTTGAATGTCAGCAGACAGCAAGAAGCCTCCCAGATCTCCAGATGCATTTGAGATATCAAAAAAGTACTCCAGAGTGTTGTTCAGCATGGGGGTGAGTAGAAAATGAAGGCTAATCATGTTTTGGGTGTACTATTCCTTTAATAAAATGCAAATGTTACTCTGATTTGAGACGACTTTGGAAAACTGAGACACAGTGAGGTTAGCTTGCAGCTACCATTTAGCAGCTGTCTGTGTGTGGTAACCCTTGATGCGCCGATTCCTGCCTCAGTCCACTTCCTATTATATATATATATATATATATATATATATATATATATTCTCATTTGAATTGAGAAAGCTTCCTGAAGAGGTGGCGAAACGTCTTCAAATCTTGGAAACCAAGTCCAGTGGATATTTTTTGAATTTTTATGGAATGACTATGACCTGGATGACTGAGAACCTTCATCAGCCATTGAGACCGGTCTAAGTAGGGAGTACCAAAATGGCGGCCGGTGGCTTCTCTTCGACCACGTACTACCAACTTGAATAATAGAGATCAGTGAATCAGACTCACTGCTATGTTCTGGCGCCCCCTGTAGGGCTCTCAACGCAAATGTTACATCCCATCCAGCAGGTGGCGCTGTGGCATAACGTGGCAGCCGTTCTTTAGCGGAACCAGATAACCGCTGCATGCGAGACTTCCGCGTCCCGTAGAGCGCTTCAGGAACTGTTGAGGAACGGGGTGAATTTAGGGAAAATGGTGAGTATATAAAGATGATTTCTGTCTTATATCGACCAGAAGTTGTCTGCCGGGAGCTGAGCGATGACGCAGGACTCTGTCCGGTACTGTGTGGGGCGGATGGAGCTGGATGTCAGCGGATGTTTGCTGGTTCATCCCGGTGAGCCGCTTGGTTCCAGCGTGGCGGCTCTCACGGCAGCCTGCTGGACCTTCGCTCAGCTCCTCAACTTCCCTCCAGAACCTTCTTATTTCTGTTTAAGCTCAACAGCATCCTTTAAACTCTTTATGTTCACCTATATTGTCATAATTCCCCAAACTAAGACCATCTCTGTCTGCATGTTTGCAGGGTTTCGTTAAGGTGGTGAAAAATAAAGCCTACTTCAAGAGATATGAAGTCAAATTCAGGAGAAGGAGAGGTAAATGGATCCATTGACTGATGGCGGGAGGAGTGCTAAGCTAACTGTTCATTGAGTCCCACTTTATGCATGTATTGAAAACCTTGGTACTTTATTTACATTTGATGCATTAAAAGCATAAACAGGTTTATGAGGCATCTTGAAGCCAAACTGTGTTGATTCCGTGTTACAGAATACTGACACCTGCTGGACATTTAAAGACACTACAGGCAGCTTATTTGATAGACTAAACTGAAATGATTTGGTGATCCAGTGCAATATTTAAAGTTATTGTAGGTAATATATTATTTTGTATCTGTTTAAATTGAAAATATATTTAATATTTTTAGACCCAGCCAATAATTCTATTCAGTTTATTTATATAGCGCCAGTTTACAACACATGTCATCTCAAGACACTTTCCAGTTCACCAGATCATCCAGTCAGATTGATTCAAAGTTTTCTATCTAAGGAAAACCAGCTGATTGCATCGACTCGTTGACTCTTCAGCAATCCCTCACACTAAGCATGCTTGTAGCGACAGTGGAGAGGAAAAACTCCCTTTGAACAGGAAGAAACCTCCAGCAGAACCAGGCTCAGTGTGAGCGGCCATCTGCTGAGGCCCACTGGGGTTCAAGGAGACAGAAGCAGACATAGAAAAAGAAGCATAGATACAAAAGGCAACTGTCAACCAGCTCCACAGGCGGCCCCGTCCAGGAAACACACAGCCAGGCAGACGAGCTCCGAGCCAGCTCCCATGTCAGAGGATGAAGAGAGCACATCCAGTTAGTCACAGTCAGAGAAACAGGACTACACTGGAAAACAGGCCAAGCTCCAACATCTAGAAACAAAGGTGTTGATGGCAGCAGCACAGCTGATATTTCTCTCCAGGATGGAGTCACAGCCAAACAGGAACAGACCAGATGAAGCTACTATGAGAAAAAGCAGAGAGAGCAGAACGTTAGAGATTGAACTAACAGATTCTGCAGAGTGGGAGAATAGAGATAGAATGAAGCAGAATGATGAAAAAGGGGGTCCCTATGTCCTCCAGCAGTCTTAAGTCTATAGCAGCATAATTATAGAGATAACTCAGGATAACCTGAGCCACTCTAGTATATCTATATAATGTAAACATATCAAAATTTATGGGCAAATTTACGGGTGAATAAGGATGCTTGTGGACTAGGATCTTAACTCATAATTTTAAAAGAATAAGTATGGTAAAAACGGTAAAGTCAATCAGAAATTAACTTTAATTCAGATAAGTTGAGTGATAATTGAGAGGAAAAGGATGATGCAATGATGCACATTATTGTTTTGCTCTATGGCTCCATGCTCCGACGCATCACTGTTAGCGGACCCATCACTACCTCGAACTCATTTCTTCATATTTGTTCTCTACATTTCTGAAATTAATGAGCTTTTATTAAATGCTGGGATCATTGTTCCAGCATTCTGATTGGCTGGAATACATATTAATTAATTGAGCTGTTAAATTAAATGATTGCCTTTTTTTTTTTTTTTGTACCGATCAATTTGTCAGAAATTTAAAGCAACAGATTTTTTTCTCAGATTTCTTTGACCTGCAGAGTAAAAAAAAAAGTGTAAACCAACATAAAACTGTTATCTTGGTAGAGCAGGACGGTTTGATGCTGATGTTCTTAACTGACCGTTTCACCGCTGACCTTTGGTTGAATTATCAGAGGGAAAAACCGACTTCTTCGCTCGCAAGCGCCTGGTTGTTCAGGATAAGAACAAGTACAACACGCCCAAATACCGACTGATCGTCCGCCTCTCCAACAGAGACGTCTGCTGCCAGGTGGGTGACCCACTAACCCTAACGGCTATGGAGAGAAATGTCTTCCTATATTATTGAATGCAAAACAAAAAGGAAATTTGAAGTAAAAGGGTTTAATGAGGGAATTTTAGAAAAACTTAGAGTAATTTATCATCTGCAATATTTTAAAATAGTTTTTCTTTAATTTTTTTTTTCAGATTTAGTTTTATAGTAGTTGCAGGTAGGCTAGTTCTGCCTCCATGTGCTCTGCTAACGATGACCCTTTCCACTTGTAAAGTGGAAGCTAGCAGCGTGTTGTGTTCAAGTTCTTTTGTTGTAAGAGAAGAGTAACATGTTGGATCCACAGATTTACCTGAGCTGCTAATCACCTGAGCTCACTGCCATACGCTACAGATCAAATGAGAAAATAATCAGAACACTGTAACCAGCGCTATGCTCGGCAGACTGCTAGCTAGCATCTGATAGAATTAACAGTCATTTTAAGAACCGCACGTTTAAAAGCTGATATTAAAACAAAAAAGTGTCTGACAGCATGGGTCTTTCGCACGTGACGTCACGCCCTGTGCATTGTGGGTAATTAGCGCCATATTGGGGGGTTACCGTGCAAGAAATTAGAGCTGCTATTAAAGCGTCCCGAAGAGATTTACCTTTTTTTTTTATCAAAAGCAACAAAAAAAAAAACACCTTTATATTTGCTATGAACCTTAATATTCCAGGGGTCACAAGATTAATTTTACTTACCATGTAAAAGAGCTTTATGTACTTTGAGTTTAATAATTTTGGAAGCTTTTTGCCGCTTGATAGGTTCGGATGCACCATAATTTACACTGAGATAAAGCTGTGAAGTGAAGACTTGTACAAGTTTGACTAACATCTTCCCTTTGTGGTGACCACAGTGTTAGTGCATCCTTCTGGTTGAAATGAGTATAAATGTTGCACCCAACCATTAGTAAACAGTCCATGAGCGTCCAGAGATTTGTAGTTTCTGAATTCTTTAAGTGTATATGCACTAATTATGTCCATATTTGTAGTTGGTGGAAATAGCGAGGGATCGGCTGTCCATGCTTTAGCTGCTAGCTCATACGGATCTATATTGCTAATTGAGGTTAGCTTAGCTAAATACCGGTATCTGCCGTCCTTATTGAGTTTATCTCTGTAAGGCTTCTTCTCGTTTTTATTGTGGATGTCCATGTTGCTGAAGTCATCGCGCTGTCATCGCGGCTTTACTGTCAATACTTGAACTCAAATGAACTTCATTGCGATTAGGCAGGTTACCCCCCAACATGGCGCCTCATTGTGTCGAGATCACGTGACTGCAAAAGACCCATTGTGTAGACAAGAGAGAACCCGAATGCTAAGCTCAGACCTAAAGCAGGGAAAACGCACGAGCTGCTTCATTTCTGATGCTTGTACCAGTTTTGGTTCTGATGCACAGCTAGAAAAGTGCGTCCGATGCGCGGTGGGCGGAGCTAACCGTATCCTTTCTTTGTCTGGAACAATTGCAGCTAAATTTGCTGTGATCAGTTCGCGCTCTTCGCGCTTTTCCGCTACTGTTTGCTGCTGGAAGCCGGTTTTTCACGTACTTAATCCAAACTGCAGGCACCAGGATTTTAAAATCTAACAATATTCTGCCATTTTAAGTTAATTTAGGCGTTGATAAACTGTTTCAGAGGAGTGGTCATAGCGCTCTGCATCAGCAGTGCTGTGTCTGACTCCCTGCCAGCTCCCAGATCAGCTTCTGATTGGTTGATGCGGCGCGTCTAGCAGCTAAAGTTAAATTTCTCCAACTCCAGCAGCTGCTGCTTCTGAAGCGCATCAGCTGCTCCAAACGCGCTGCAGGACGTTTTGCTGCGCCTTGATGCGCGTCAATCATTGACATGTAAACTAGCTGCTTCTGCTTCTTCTGCTGCTTGCGGTCTGAATGTAGCATTAACGATGCAGCATTCACCACATCGAATCATTTCACTGCTGTCCGCCATGTTGGAAGGTCAAAGTTTACCTCAATTCTGGACTCATAGAATCTTCCCAGTGGAAAATAAGACATGAGAGTTTTTGGTATTTTCCATAATCACGTTGCCACATGAAGGCACCGTTAGTTATACAGATTACCAGTTAGATTTCAGGATGCTCTGCGTGGACCAATAGAAACTGGCCTGCTCTGTGTTCGCGTTGGCAACAAACCAACCAAAAATAAAGATCAAGTCTCCACACAAGAAAAACACAATTTGGAGGGAACAAATAAAATAAAATGTAACCTAATTTGGCAAACAAAAAAATTATTTGTTGAACTCTTTAATTTAAATATTTTATTTTTAAAAGCACTTTCAAATTTATTTATTTTTTTAACTTTTTCTTTTCTTTTACTAATATTGGAGCCAATTTCTCCCCATACTTTGTCCCGTTTTATTGTTTCTAGAGGATCTGAATGATTTTTCTCCACCTTCCAGATCGCCTACTCAAAGATCGAGGGAGACCACATCGTGAGCGCCGCTTACTCCCATGAGCTGCCCAAATACGGGATCAACGTGGGCCTCACTAACTACGCCGCCGCCTACTGCACCGGCCTGCTGCTGGCCCGCAGGGTAAACCGGCTGCAGCCTGTCACACTCAGCCTCCTGCAAAGCTTCGGACTCCTAACGTTTAAACGTCTGGTTTTCACTTTATAGCTGCTGCACAAGTTCGGCATGGATCAGATTTACGAAGGTCAGGTGGAGGTGACGGGAGACGAGTTTAACGTGGAGAGCGTGGACGGGCAGCCCGGCGCCTTCACCTGCTACCTGGATGCAGGGCTGGCCAGGACCTCCACAGGAAACAAGGTGTTTGGGGCCCTGAAGGGGGCCGTGGACGGAGGGCTGGCCATTCCTCACAGGTCAGAATCAAGCTTCTACGTTCACCACCACGGTCGGGCTCCGCACAGCGGGACGCTAACTGTTTACTAGCATGTCTCTTTGGGAGCGTTTTTCACAGAAGTTTTAGTTTATACAACAGCAAACATTTATTATCAAACAAACATTAGCAATGGATCTTAAACAGAGGGAGTACGGAAAATTATTTTTTATTTTTGAAAACAAAAAACATGTTTCTATAAAGAAAATCAGAGAAAAATGCAATTTAACCCTTTATAGGGTAGGTTAGCGTAACCCTTACAAATGGACCAAACCCCCCCACCGTCCCTCAGTGAGGTCTAGACGCACAAGATCTATATCCAGCCATTCAGCAAAAATGCTGCTACATGGCTGCACATCTTATTTTGGCTTTTGACCAATTAGAAGAGTCCCTCAATGACATATTACCTACTGGAGATTAAGTTGGGGAAGAAAAAAAAGGTAATAAGCAAACTGAAAAGTTACAAAGTAAAGTTAAAAAGTTTATATTTAAGTTTATAAACTAAAAAATCTAATTGCCAGTATCAGCATTAATGCCTCTAAGGTTATGTTGGACCAAAAAATAAAAATGTTTCTCTCACTTATAGAAGCACTTTGATTATTTTCTTAATATATTCGGGCGAGTTTGCGTTTCTTGTTTTTGCATTGACATTAATATTTTGCCATCAAAATATTCATATTATTTATTGTTACAAATGTAATAAGTTCTTGTCCTGGATTCCAATAATACTGTTGGCTGGAAATTTAGATTATAAAGGGTTAAAGGAAATTTGAAAATCCTTTAAAAATAATTCATGCGTATAATAAAGTTAAGCCAGCGTTTCTACACTTTGCTATTTTTTAGAATTTATGTTTTTTTATCAGATGTAATAGAACATTAATATTTAAAAATGTTTTTCTAATTTAAAACTTTGACACACACACACATATATATATATATATATATATATATATATATATATAATAAGACATGTAACCATTTGCAAGCCTTGGGTACGTAGCAGATGACTCATTTTGTTTATTTGTATATTTATGTATTTGTTTTAAAATTTCTATTTACAAAACATGTTCATCACAACATTAATGGAATCAAATTCACTCCATATTCTTTGACGGCTTCAGGCTGTTTTTAGCTCTTTTTTTTTTTTTTTTTTTATCTATAATGTCTTTATTCAGTTGAGAAAAGCTCTCATTCTAACTTTTTTAAAGATCCAAATAAGTAAAGTTGCATATTTACGAGAATAAACTGACATTTTCCGAGATTATAAAAACTCCCGTATTTAGAAGGAAATGGGTAGAAAATTTATAAGACTAAAACGCAAATTTACAAGAAAATAAACATGCATGTTTACGAGATTGTAAGCATGCAAATTTAGAAGAAAAATGCAATTTAAAGAGGAATTTGAAAAATCATTAAAAAAAATTCATGCATATTTTAAAGTTCAGTGTTTTTTATACTTTATGCTATTTTTAAATTAAAGGAAAATTCATGTCATAGAACATACTTTTTTTTTTTACTTTTCTTTAATATTTTTCAAATTTTTTAAAATATATTCTAGTTTTTGATATGAGATTTAATGTTTTTCTTCACATTTTTTGTCTTATTTGGAAAAATGTTCATTTGATTTGTGTTTATCTGACTGTGTTCATTATTATTCCTCCACTAAATGAAAGAAATAAGAATATATTATTATCTAGAGACTTTTAATAACAGGAGAAATGCAGCTCCAGACGACCTGAGCGTGCGATGATGTCATCAGTACATCAGTTCCAGTTGACCCAGATTTATTCCGCGTTCTCCCAGAGTCCAGACTTTCCTGTGTTCTATTCAAGAACAGACTTGGCGAGAACACGAGTCCGTACTCGCGTTCTAATGAATTGAGAAACGGCCTCAATTTACTTTCCTAACCATTGGACCAAAGTGTTGTTCTGCTTCAGTTAAATACCCATAATGCTTTGCTGCATCATCATGACTGATTCCATCCTGGAAGAAAAACAACATGGAAATAGAGCTGGTTTGTTCCAGGTTCGCTTATCGGGATTCTGATCAGATGGATGCAGATTAGTTTCTGTGTGTTTATTGTTTGATCTTTCATTGGGAGGAGGAGGAGGATCCACCTTCCTGACTTTGCCTGTTTTTACCTGCAGCTTGAAGCGTTTCCCTGGTTACGACTTGGAGAGCAAGGAGTTCAACGCCGAGGTGCACCGAAGGCACATCATGGGCATGAACGTGGCCAACTACATGTCCTACCTGATGGAGGAGGACGAGGAGGCCTACAAGAAGCAGTTCTCTCGCTTCATCAAGAACGGAGTGGCACCAGACACGGTAGGACGCCGTCCGTCGCTCGCTCCGTGAAATCCAGCGTCCTGCATCGTTGGCTGATGTTCACCGTGGTTTTAGAAGCACAGCTCGCCGTTCTGAACGCCGCCGTTTAAACGTTTCCCTTCTTTTTGGTTTCAGGTAGAAGAAATGTATAAGAAAGCACACGCCGCCATCAGAGCGAATCCCGTACTTGAAAAGAAACCCAAAAGAGACGTCACAAAGAAGAGGTGGGTTAACCGCGTCCAATCAGAGCAGCCGCTCAGCCGATGGAGCGAACCTTCATCAGTCGGCTTGTTTTGTTTTTCTGGTGCAGGTGGAACCGCGCCAAGTTGTCGCTGGCACAGAGGAAGAACCGCGTCGCCCAGAAAAAAGCCAGCTTCTTACGAGCACAAGAACAAGAAGCAGGGGACGGTTAGGGGCCGACAGGACGGGGCCCGTCCTCACAGACTAATAAATGTGTTCAAGTCCACCCCATCTCTGTGTTTCTGTCTTCCACTGCAGCCTCACAGTTAAACAGTAAAATAATTTAGTTTCTAGAAACATTCATGTCTGATAGACGACTTAATAAGAGTGTACGTATGGAGAGAAAGTTGGTCCAACATTATGGAATGCCAAGAACACGTTTCAAAGAAGGGAATTTGAAGGAAACTCATTTCAAGTTTGAACACTTACAAATTCTTCTCAATAAAAACGGCTTTGAAAGTTATTAGTTTGCAGAATATGAAATAGATATTTTTTGAGATAATTTTTTTCTGATTTTATTTTCCTTTTATATAAATGTATAGAAATATATATATATATATTTATACACATTTTTTTGTAGGGATGCAAGATATTGGGATTTTGGCCGATATCCGATATGCCGATATTTTAAAACTCATGTAGCCGATAACCGATATCGATACCGATGTTAAAGCTGGACAAAAATAAGTAGTCATTGAAAATAGCAGTTTTGTTATCCATTTCTGACACTTTGAAAAATAATATACTCAAATATATTTTCATATGCTGATATCAAATAGATTTTTAAAAACGCGGTATCGATCTATTTTACTTTCAAAATCTGGTGAAATTTCATCGTTCTGTTACAAACTCTCGTGATATTTTGCAAATTCTTGTGAGATTTTGTTAGTAAAATAGATCGATACCGCGTCAATATATCAACATATAAAAATATGGCAACATTTTGTGAATTTTCGGGGGATTTCGTAGCATAACGATGACATATAGCAATATTTCATTAGTAAAAGAGATTGATATGGTGTTTTTAAATGGCAATATATCAGCATATGAAGATATTGGGATATTTTAATGGATCAATATTTTTTAAGTCTTTAAAAAAAGTTTTTTAGGAAGAAGTAGTATTTTTTATTTTTTTTTAGACTTTAGAAACTCAGAAGCTGATCAAATATCGGGTTAAATATCGGTGGGGTGGCCGATGTCCGATATTCAGCTTTAAGGCCGATACCGATAGGGGGCCGATTATATCGTGCATCCCTATTTTTTGGGTCTAATGGGAAACTTTTTAAAGTTAAAGGAAATTGTTTAAAAATATATAATTGACAATTTGAGAGAGAAAATCTGGAAATGTTGAATTGCATACACAAGTTTATTTTATTTCAACGTTCCATTTTCTCCTCATTTCCTCTTTTAAAACTCGTCAGGCCAAACGGCCCGTCTGCTGAAACCGCTCCCTAACCAATAACCCTTAACTATCAAGTGTCGCTCCCAGTGAAGTCTCCCTCGGCTGTGGAAGGCGCCTTTTTTTCCCCCTAACTTCGATTTTCTATCGGTGACAAAGATGCAGCAAAGCAGAGGAACTTAAATTTGAATGCCAGTGTTTCCTCCACCAGTAGTTCACCATTGCACCTGCTGCTAAATTCCAGACTGAACATCTGCTCTAACCCCTAAATCACTATATAGAGCGGGGACTATATAGTGGACTTTACACTTAGATTTTATTTTGTACAGGCGTGTAAACAGAAATTTTGTTAGGAGCAGCTGTCTAGACAACCTCATTTTTTTTTAAGTACAGCCTTGATAAGGTAGGCAGCAGTGATGAAAAACAGTAACGTAAACTTATGACTGTTTAGTTACAGTTCTAACATTCAGGATTTTTTTTTTTGTAACCCATTCTACAAAACATTCAGCAGTGTGATGGCGGTGGGGAAGAAGCTGCTGCAGAACCTGCTGGTCCTGCATTGAATGCTGTGAAGCCTCTTCCCAGAGGGCAGCAGGGAGAACAGTCCATGGTGGGGGGGTGAGGGGTCATTGATGATATCACGGGCTCGGGACACGCAGCGCTGGGATGAAATGTCTTTAATGGAGGGAAGAGGAGCCCCCATGATCCTCTCCAGTGAGACCACAGTGAGACAGCTGCTCAGAACGCTCTCTATGGTGCTTCTGGAGAAGGTGAGGACAAAACCTAGAACAGATAATGGATGTCTATTCTATTCACATTTCTCTATCTGTAGGATGGGTTTATGTGTTGCCTTCTCAATTCAGAGGGCCCCCTGCCTGTCTTTGCCTTGGGCCCCAAATGTTCTAAATCCGCCCCTGCCTACTTCAGTTCATATTTTAGGTTCCACTTTACAGCTGATTTTCTCTGTTGAGTAATTTCTATTTCAATCTGAAAAACTCACACGAAGAGAAAAGACAATTAGGAGAAACGTCTTTGGCGCTCAGACCACGGCAGGAAACATTAGCGCTGAATTTTGATAGCTATGCATGAACAGGAGTAAAGAACAGGGATGTTTCCCTCCAAATTCCTCAGGGAGTTTGGTCCATATTGACATGATGGCATCGCACAGTTGCCGCAGATTTGTCGGCTGCACATCCATGATGCGAATCTCCCGTTCCACCACATCCCAAAGATGCTCTATTGGATTGAGATCTGGTGACTGTGGAGGCCATTTGAGTACAGTGAACTCATTGTCATGTTCAAGAAACCAGTCTGAGATGATTCCAGCTTTATGACATGGCGCATTATCCTGCTGAAAGTAGCCATCAGAAGTTGGGTACATTGTGGTCATAAAGGGATGGACATGGTCAGCAACAATAACCAGGTAGGCTGTGGCGTTGCAACGATGCTCAATTGGTACCAAGGGGCCCAAAGAGTGCCAAGAAAATATTCCCCACACCATGACACCACCACCACCAGCCTGAACCGTTGATACAAGGCAGGATGGATCCATGCTTTCATGTTGTAGACGCCAAATTCTGACCCTACCATCCGAATGTCGCAGCAGAAATCGAGACTCATCAGACCAGGCAACGTTTTTCCAATCTTCTATTGTCCAATTTCCATGAGCTTGTGCAAATTGTAGCCTCAGTTTCCTGTTCTTAGCTGAAAGGAGTGGCACCCGGTGTGGTCTTCTGCTGCTGTAGCCCATCTGCCTCAAAGTTCCACGTACTGTGCGTTCAGAGATGCTCTTCTGCCCACCTTGGTTGTAACGGGTGGTTATTTGAGTCACTGTTGCCCTTCTATCAGCTCCAACCAGTCTGGCCATTCTCCTCTGACCTCTGGCATCAACAAGGCATTTCCGCCCACAGAACTGCCGCTCACTGGATGTTTTTTCTTTTTCGGACCATTCTCTGTAAACCCTAGAGATGGTTGTGCGTGAAAATCCCAGTAGATCAGCAGTTTCTGAAATACTCAGACCAGCCCTTCTGGCACCAACAATCATGCCACGTTCAAAGTCACTCAAATCACCTTTCTTCCCCATACTGATGCTCGCTTTGAGCTGCAGGAGATTGTCTTGACCATGTCTACATGCCTAAATGCACTGAGTTGCCGCCATGTGATTGGCTGCTTAGAAATTAAGTGTTAACGAGCAGTTGGATAGGTGTACCTAATAAAGTGGCCGGTGAGTGTATATAATTATTTCATGGTCCTGTGTCGCAGTGCATCGAAACCATTAAAAGAATCTGTCAAACTCACCCATCAAAGTTAGGGGGCGGGGTTAACACGAATCGAGTCTCTGTAATCGATTTGCTTCGCCTTAATGTGCAGGGTGACCAATCAGGTGTTAGATAACCGCCCCCTAACTTTGATGGGTGAGTTTGACAGATTCTTTTAATGGTTTCGATGCACTGCGACACAGGACCATGAAATAATTAAATGCACACTGAAATAATTATAAATATTTTTTTAATAAAATGAAGACGTATTTTATTAAATTAATGACACATTCATATATTTAGTTCCTTATTTATTTAATGAATTACACATTTAATTGTTTATCGCTGTATTTATTTATTTAATTGTGGCACTTTATATTAGTGACGTGGTTTTAATTAATGAATGACACATTTATTTATTTAACTCCACAATTAATTAATTATTGACACATTTAATGATTTATTTACTGCTGTATTTATTTATTTTATTTTGGCACTTTTTATCCTCCATAAATTAAACATTGTATCAAGTTATTTTTCAAATCAATCCTGACAAAGAGACATGGCTCCCATGACAGTGAGTGGTATGGCGTTTATTTGTGAAAAAAACAAAGTAAACATGAAAACTGAAGGCAGCAGTGGAAGTCAGCTGGATGTGCTCTACAGGTCGACAGTTCAGTGGTTCGACTCACATCTCAATCCAGCTAAAGTGAAAATTAACCTTTTTATTTTCTATAATCAGCATCTGGTATCTCACATTTCCAGTTTAAAGTTAAACAGTCTTTAAAATAACAGCATGATGTGTGACAGAATCCAAAAATCAGCCCAGCTTTAAACAGAGACAATAGAAAACAACATGAACCTCTGTTACTTCTAATTATGATTAAAAAATAAATCTTAGACAGATGTGATAAAAGAACAGAGTATAAACTTTGCTGTGTTAAACACAGAAAACATCCTTTATAAAAGGACAGGAGAACATTCACCTTCTGAAGCAGGATCTTCTTCACACTGGAGATTGATGCTTTTATTCTAATAATGTCCACAAACATAAGGCCATGAGGGCTTCTTCTTCTGTTGCTGCTTAAAACAGACATTTGTTCACATTCAATCACAGTTTGGAGTTCTGAGTAGTTTATCCTGCCTTCATTTCCAATCAACTTCAGGCAGCGAACCACTGACAGCAGACCGATGATCTATAGCGAAATAATCTCCCAGCAGATGTGTTGGAGTAACAGAAATCCTGCATGAGTTCAGTTTAATCATTCTGTGAGAAACAAACAGCCGTCGAATCGTTGGTCATAATTAATGCTGTTTCTGCAAACAGATCCTTATTGGGAGATCCGGCTCTGGTTCTCTGATCAAAGGAGCGCAGTGGTTTTAGATGCTTCTACAGAAGAGACCAGGAACCGTTTCCTCCTGATAAAAAAGGTTATCTACACCAAGCATCCGACCTGATAGTGTTTAGATGGTCCCTTTGGTATGGAAGACAAACAGTGTCATTGGAGTCTGCACTTCATTTAAACACTGATTTTTTTTTTTTTAGCACCGAATTTCAGAGATGGGAAG